TTAGGAATTGAAATATTTTCAATACCTACTGTTTGTAAGCATAGTAAAACTGTGAATTGAAATAATTTCAATATCCATTGCTAAGAGATGCCAGCCTGTTTCATGAACAGTGAATATTTTGTCCCTAAAGCTGCGAAACGGGTCCTGCTGGCGGTGAATGACCCGACCCATTTCACATTTATGAAAGTCAAGACCGTAGCAGTTGGATAGTAAATTTCCCTTTTACAAGTGCCCAAAGCCATTAACAACGTGTCACTCTCACTGCGCAAAAATCCCAATCAGATAAAGTCCATCGCAGATTTATCAGATCAGAGTTTTTCAAACTCTCCAAAATACCCACACTGCAGTTCCCATACTCCCACCCTATCCACCGAACAGTCCCCGTCATTTCAGTCAAACCTCAGGTCCTATTTCGTCAACCCGAAAAAAACCCACCCTTCAACTCTGTCCTAACTCCACCCAAACCAAAGAGAGCTGAAAAGGAAAGAGAAGAGAGAGAGAGATAGAGTGAAGGAGAGAGAGAGAGAGAGAGAGAGAGAGTGAAATGGAGTTCCATTTCAACACAAGCAGAGCGGAAGCGGAGCGGTGGCTGAGCACGGCGGTCAAGCTACTGACGACACGTGACCTGCACGGGACCAAGAGCTTCGCGATCCGAGCCCGAGAGTCCGACCCGAGATTGGAGGCCACCGAGCAAATAATCGCCGTTGCCGACACGCTTCTCGCCGGCGACTCCCGGATCAGCGGCCACAGCCAGCAGCCCGACTGGTACGCGATCCTGCAACTCACCCACTACACTCAGAACCTCGAACTCGTTGCGACTCAGTACCGCCGACTCGCTCTCCTGCTCAACCCGCACCGGAACCGCTTCCCGTACGCCGATCACGCCTTCCGGCTCGTCTCCGAGGCCTGGAACGTCCTCTCTAACCCTTCCAAGAAGGCCCTCTATGACCACGAGTTGAGCATGTTCAACCGGTTCGACTCGGCCCCCTCCGGGTCGACTCAGTTGTTCGAGAGGCAATTCTTGCAAATGCATAATGTGCAACAGCAGCCACCGCAGCCGCCGCAACCGCCACCACCGCCACCACCGCAACCACAAACACTACATTTCCAGCCTCCACCACCACCATCACAAGAAGTACAGAGAGCACAACATCAATTTCATCTACATCAATTAAGACAAGAGCAGCAACAGCAGCAGCAGCAGCAGCAGCAGCAACAGCAGCAACAGCAGCAACAACAGCAACAACAGCTTCAACAACCACCACAGCAGCAGCAGCAGCAGCAGCAACAGTCACCACAGCAGCCGGAGCCGCAGCAGCAGCATCCGGTGAGGAAAAGCCCTAGGAGTAAGGATGGAAGAGTGGCGATGGAGGAGGAAAGGCCGAGTCTTAACAATGTGACCGAGTCGACTGCTCCTCCCTCAGAGTCAACTCGCCCTGTTGAGGCATCTCCCCCTTCTGAGTCGACTCGACCAGAATCGGAGCCCCGAACGGAGAGTTTCTGGACTGCATGTCCCTACTGTTATAATCTCTTTGAGTATCCGAGCGTTTACGAGGATTGCATGCTTCGGTGTCAAAATTGCAAGAGGGCGTTCAATGCGGTGGTGATAGAGGCACCGCCTGTGACGGGGAGTGACGGTGAGGTCAACTTCTGCTGTTGGGGGTATTTCCCGTTGGGGTTTGCCGAGAATGGTAAAGATACAGGCGGGTCAGCTGAGTGGACGCCGTTTTCGACCATGTTTGCTTGCCCAATACAAGGGAAGAAGAAGAATGCTGGACGAACTAAGAACGCTAATTCAGGGCCGAGGGTCTATATTGACGATGATGAGGCGTTGCTTGATATTTCGGATTCTAGTGAGGAATCTGACGATGAGTGGCAGACGGATAGGAGGAAAAAGAGGGCAGTGAAAGCAAAAGGTAAAGCTTCAGTGGCTAAAACTCCAGTGAGGGCTTCGGATAGAATAAGGAAGGGTAATCAAAATGTGGGTGGGCAGGGGAAGGTAGGAAGTGGTGGGAATTTGGGTGGTGGGTCTCTGTCGAAGCCGGAGTCGAGTAAGAAGTCGAGTTCTAGTGCAAGAAAGAGAGGTGCAGCTGCTTTGGGGAAGTTGGATTTGAATGTGGAGTTCAGTAATAATGAAGTGGAAGAGCCTGCAGCTCAGACAATGAGTGAAGGGAATGGGACTGCAAACGGGGAGGAGGATAACATTGAAGGGATTTCGTTTTTTGAGGGTCTTGATGAGTTTTTGAGTAGTCTGCCCATACTCAATGTTGTGGGTGATGACAAGGTTAAGGCTAATTAGTGAAGTAAGGGTAAGACTCTTTCCTTTTGGTTTTTGCTACTTCAGCTGTTGTACTTGCTCTATGGATGCATGTTGTATTGAATGATGTAGAGCTTCTAGGCATTTTGTTTTATGGCTCTCACTCTTTGGATCTGTTACGTAATCTGCAGCAATGTAAACTTAATTCAGCTTGTAGCTTTTAAAAATGTTAGTCTGATTTCTGTAAATTATCTTACGGTGTTAGCATTGATGGCTAAAATTTGGACTAACATGGGGAATCAGTTCTGGTGATAATCTCATTTTTCCCGTGTTGAAGTTAAGAAATTTTGGTATACTATAATGTAGAGGTTTCTTTGTGAATCATGGTTGAAGCTTGGTTTTAGGGTTTGTTTGGAGACCATTACATTTCTTGATGTTAGTATGTTATAATTATTTTTATATTCTTTGGGATTAGAATGGGAATGTAACATGCGGGCTTCGATTGTTTCACTCACTTGATAGATGAAATCCAGCAAGTTCTCAATTTGGATTGCTTTATATACCAATTTAGGCTCAACCCAGTTGTATTTTAAAAACCCATATCCTATATTCCACAAATGGTTCAGGATCAACTATAATATTATAGCATAAAAGGTAGCAATCGCTAATGGAAGAAAGCAACACAAGGAGCAAGCTCAAGAGAATCTGTGTGTATTGGGAAAGCAACTTCGGACACAGAAAAGTCTTCGGTGACGCTGCTCTTGAGTTCGCCCATAAACTGGTGATCCAGATGGATATGAATTAGAGGAATTTTCACAATTATAAAGAGGAGGGTTTGGGGGGTGGAGAAGCTTTGAGAGACGATGAGATTCCTATGGCATTGCTTTCTATTTATGGATCTTTGTCTTTCCCCTATTATCCTAGTTTGGAAAACAGCTGCAGGTTAATTTCTTAATTTGTTTGCTGAAGATTTTGTTTTTGCTTTTATCTTGTGGATAGGTTTATATATATTAATATACTTTTAGGAAGCTTTTTTTTAATAAAATACGTTTCTTCTGCGTACACATATACATATACATTCCTTATTTGCTGATGTGTGGCAGAGGGCTTAATTTGATGTACTCTCTTCCTGCTACAGTTTCTCTGTAATTTATTTTTTTGTTGTGGGTGGGGGATTCACATGGAAAGAGAGAAGTTTCTTCGCTGCCCTCTTTTTAATATTTATTTTATGTTTTATTTTTAAATCATTATTTATTATAGTTTCTAAGTTTCTTATTGCACACCCTCTCTTAGTCGTCAAAGAGTGAGTAGGATTAACTGTAGTTTCCCAAGCCCTAATTTTAATGTGGAAAAAACATGATCTCCCTTTTACTTTATTCAGAATTTTCACCTATAATTGATTAACGATTCAATTGTGTTTAGTGCTCCTCAGTGGAAAGATATGTTACTATCTTTGCTAAAACAAAATACTGGCTACTTGTTATCTTATTTCTACAAGGATAATCTTGGATGCTTAGCAGCAATTTGATTCTGAATTTGTGTGTCTGTTGTTCTAGGAAACATGGAAAACTTATTTACTGTGTTGCACTTGCAGCATGGTCTTCTCTTTGCTTGAGCCTATTATTGTGAGTTTGATGGCTACTGTTGTACCTTATGTCTTATATATAATGTTGTCTTCACTATTGTTTCTTCTTTTTTCATCATTGTGACATTTGAAGATGAGTTTTAATTTTTTTTCCGCTTTCCTCTCCTGTTGTTATGCACAATAGGTGTATAATACATAGCAAGCGAGGAATGATCTCTGGCAACATTTAGCTTATTTGGAAATGGCTTTATGCCTTTGAGCAGCCTTTTTCATGTCTAGATAGTTGAAGGGCATCTGAACGTTTTGTTAAATGAACAAAAAATTAAATGATGTTCTTGTGAGCATTTCATCATTTTCATTGTCCTCGTGATCACTGGTGTCAGTTAATGGAAGTTGACATAATAGTCAAATTGTTGATACTAGATTGAGGATTTGAATTGAATTTTGGTGTTAACAATGAGGGTATAAAGTTTTCTAGATCGTAGTGTTCAGAAATTTCCATTAATCTGTACTTCAGCAGCAATTAAACTTTTATTAGAATTTCTCATTAAATTTCCAGCTTGATTTGGTGCATATTGTAGAATTTGTACTTTAATAAGTTGGTTGGTTGTTAGTTTGTTTTCTTGTTTTATTTATTTATTTTGGTAAGATTTCCTTGCCAAATAAAAAAAGTAGTGTTTGATTTTATAAACTGAGTCGTAGTGCTAGCACATTTCTGTTATCTTGTGTGTGATATGTTCATCCTTGTCATTTTGTCTTTTCATAATGGATGCACAGTGGTAAAATTAGAACTGGAGACAGATTTTTGGTGGCAATATTCAGAGATACAAAGCACCTAGTGGTACAATGTTATGCAGAAAAATAGGTAAATAGGTATTGATTTCAGTGAAATTGTTCCTCATATTGTTGACTTAAGGACTATTCATGCTGTGTGGATGGATATGGCAGCGGCATTATCGATGTTTGTAGTAGCTGCATTTCCCTTAGACCTAACTACGGTATCATTGCCTGTCGTTCAGATGGGGTGACATGCAATGATTCAGTTGGGTTAAGTAGTTAATTGTAAGTTGTGAAGTTATTGACTGAAAGAAAGGTCCCAACAAGACTCATGGAGGAAAAGTTTGAACTGAATTGTTTTATTTTCGATTCGATTTGTAGCCTTGTAGGGTGTTGGATTTGATGTAATATTTTTGTATGATTGCAATTCTTCATGTTCTTAGATACTACAAGGCCGGTGGATTTGTCGCGGAGACATACTCTTTAAAGCAAAGCAAAAACCCGTCTTGTGAAGCTCATGAAGTAGGGAATAGGCAAGAGAATAGGGAATGTGCATTCTGTGGTTCTTGTTAACCAAAATGAGAATGATGATCTTAAGATGAAATAAAGGGAAAGTGGGAACTTGTATTGATTTGAAAAATGAGTTTCCGTTAAGTTTGAGGATGTTGATTATGTTCGTCTCCGGCTCTTTGCCTTTTCATAGTCACCCTTTTGGTCGGAATCAAATTTTCCTTGAAACTTTCATAACTTGTGGGAACAAAGAAACAACACAGGCAAACCCAAAAGGGGACAAAAAGAAAACAAGAGAAAGATCTAGCTGAACTACAGCCAAAGCCTAGCAAAGAAGATCTTCCTCGATCTAACAACAAATCTACAACCAAAGCCTAGCAAAGAAAATCCTCCTCATTCTAACAACAAATTAACCCGGTGGGTTAGGGAGACAATCAGAAATCAAAACTTGAACCAGAGACGGAAGTGGCGTAACTTTGCAGTTCACCGCTCTCAGCCCCATCCTTGCCACCCTTGCCGCCTCATGGGCAGCACGATTCATGTCTTGGAATCCAGCAGCACTGAACTTCCTGAAAACTTGCCGCCAATCTTCTAATCTCATTGATCTAAAGAAATAAGGTTCATGCCCTGTTTTCCACACAGCCATTCATAGTCACTAGTGCCTCAGCAATCAAAGCAGACCGTTTTCGACGTTTGATAGTCTACAGTACCTTCAAAAGTGTAGCAAAAGTAAAAACAAACATTTAACTTGTATCTTTAATCTTTCTTTGTTTGTTTGGCTGCCCTCTATGCCTTTTGGGTAGCTGGTGCCTTCTGACCGTGCTTGTTGTTTTGGCTTTTTGCCTCTTTCCTTGCCTTTTGGCTGTTCATGAAGTATCTTTTCACAGAAATTTTTTTTAAAAAAATCTTTGCCATGATCCATCAAATTCCAAATCAAACAGAAACTTCATCAAATTTAATCGATTTTCCATATTTATATTCAGTTTAATATAGTTGAACCACAAAGACATAGATCCAATTTGATATTGGGCTAGGACAGAAAATCAAGTCCAAGTATTGTCCAAGACTTCTTCAAGTTTTCAAAATTCAAAGCCCTGATTGTTTGATGCCTGATTACTCGATCAAATGAAATGACCTTGAGAATTGAAACTAAAATAAGTTTTTGGAACTTGGAAGGATGCTCTTTTCAAAATTTCAAGATTATTTTGATAAAAACTAAACGAAGGAATTTTTATTTAATTTTCCCAAATACAGTTTATTTAGTGGAAAAGGAAACAAAATAGTAATCATGTGCGGGTCATGAAAAAAAGTTGAGCTGGTGAAATTTGGGTGAAAGTGGTAGAGTTGTTGGTATCCAACATGCTAGTGGTCTGCGACTCGATCTTTCATGACACCGTATGTGTGAGAATACCCCGTCTCCCTTCCTAAATTCGAGTAATAGTTGAGGTAGTATTGTTAAATTATTTCCAAGTTAAAAATTAAAAAAAAAGGAAAAACAGGGTTAGAGAATTAAATAAAATAAAGGTTTTTTTTTAATCACAAATGGTCCCTGATGTTTGCAAAATTATCATATTTCGTCCCTAACGTTTTTTTGTGACACTAATGGTCCTTAAGGTTATCCTTTACACATCAAAATGGTCCATGCCGTTAGCTTCGGTCAAATTTTCTGTTAAATTGCTGACATGACACGTGTGTGGAGCCCACACATCCAATGGTATAAAGCCACGTGGCTTTAAATAAAATAAAAATATATTTTAAATATTTTAAAACTTAAATCCATAAAAACAAAAACAAAAACAAAAATAACTGCACCCTCTGCATTCTCACTCTGCCAGCGCCCTTCCCCTTGCAGACCCACCTTTTGTCTCTCTCTCTCCCTCCCCTCTCTTCTCAATCGAGACTTGGAAGAGCTTCAAGAGCTCGCGACTTCTTCTAACACCAACTCACGAATCTTTCCGTACAATGTGAAGTAGCAATGTTGGGAAAAGGCTGAGAAGATCAGGGGTCGAGACCCAGACCGGTGGCGTCGAGACTCTCTTGGAAACACCGTGTTCCGGAAGCTCGTCAGTTGCCTAGGTTGCCTCTGCCATGATTATGATCACATCGTACCTTACTCTAAGGTAATTCCTCGTTCTCTCTCACATTCACGATTTTTATGATTTTTTGTGCGTTTATGTTTGTTGGCCTTGATTCTTTGATTTGTGCTTGGAGTTTTGTGAAGTTGGTTCATTGTGGTTTTGGCTATTAAGGCTCCGTTTAGGATGCATTTGATATATATCTTTCCTTTCTTGCTTGGTGACTTTCTATGGAATCGGATTATTTCTGTTGTAGCATTCTGTATAAAAAGAGATGCATTTTTGCAAGGGGGGAAGGGCGCTGGTGGAGTGAGAATGCAGAGGGTACATGTATTTTTGTTTTTGTTTATATGGATTTAAGTTTTAAAATATTTAAAATATATTTTTACTTTATTTAAAGCCACGTGGCTTTATACCATTGGATGTGTGGGCTCCACACATGTGCCATTTCAGCAATTTAACAGAAAATTTGACCGAAGCTAACGGCAGTGACCATTTTGATGTGTAAATGATAACCTTAAGGACCATTAGTGTCACAAAAAAAACGTTAGGGACGAAAGGTGATAATTTTGCAAACGTCAGGGCCATTTGTGATAAAAGTCAAAAATAAAATAAATACAAAATACAGTGAAGTGGCAGATGGTGGTCTTGTTTAACTCCCAACTGTCTTTCTGTCCTCCAACATTACATTTTCGAAAGACAGTTCAGCATCTAACTTTAACAGCTTCTACTGTTGCATAGAGATAGATGTGGGTGTTCATTGGCATTGTCTTCTATTTTATCTTCGTTTTCTCCGTCTTTCTGGGAGACTGAAATGTTTCTTGATCTGACCGACCAACTCAACCAAACCCAACGTCTATTAAACACCTTCTTCTTCTTCTGCACTCTCTATACTTTGTCTCTAAAACCCCATTTCCCTTTTGAGCTCTCTTTCTCTTCTCTCTCTCTCTCTCTCTTCCATGGCTATTCTTGCGCCAACCTCTGTTTCAAAAGACCCCTTGTCCCTCCGCACCTCCTCCAATTCCTCCTCCTCGGATCTCCAGAGAATCTCATTGAACCCACCAAGAGTAAATTCTCTTTTGTTTTCCTCTTTCTCTCTCAAGCATTTCATTTCGTTGGTTTTGTTGATTTCTTGAATCTTTTGCTGCAGATCTTTGGTTCTAAGCTGAAATCAGGGAAGATTGAGCAGACCCAATTGAGATTATTGACTGCTTCCAAGTAAGTTGCTGCATTTCTCACCTATGCTGCTGAACATATTGTTAAGTTCGCTTAATTTGCATTGATATCTATATATATGTTTCAGGTTTCTTGATTCACTATGTAATTTCCAATCTTCTGCCTTGCCTTTTATGTTCTTTCCAATTGTGGCCATTTGAGCTCCAAATTTACTAATCTTGATTGATTTGAGAAAGGAAATATTAGTGAGACGAAGTAGGATTTAGTTTGAATGTTCTATTTTTGTGATCATAGTACTGTTAAGGCACAAACAACGTTAAATTTCTGTCGTTTACCCATGAGAATTTTAAAATTTGAAATTACGGTGAGAAAAAGAAATCCAGAATCAAGGCTAATTTACTGGTACAATGAGGGATTTTCGTTTTGGTTTTCACACCTCGCTGAAATTCAAGGCTGCTCCTTTATTGGTGAGATCAATATGATGGGTTTACTTAGATCTGTTGCGTGGCATCACAAAGACACTAATTATCTTTGTTTGATGGTTTGTATATAGGAGATGTTTACAATATAAGATTACGACTACATGCAACCTTCGGATTGGTCCTAAGAGATAAGAATGTCTCTATTTTTGTTTAAATCATCAGCTAAGTCACCTGTAGAACTCGAAATTTCATAGGTAGTTGGTTGGTGCTGAAATGTTTTCCTTTTGATATTTGCAGCAATTGTTCAGATTTAACTGCAAAGGCTTCAAGAAAGCCGTTAGGGCTCACTGAAGAACTTAAAAACAACAAACTAGAGAGCGTAGTAGAAACTGATGATGGGAGCTGTTTATTTGAAGATATGAAACGTCGGTTTCTAAGCTTCAAAAAGCATAAATATATGTAAGTGTCCAAGGACTCAGGTCTTGAGGTTCTTCAGCTTAAAGTAAAGTACTCCTGTTCCCTAATTTGGCTTTCATTTTGAATAGGGAAAACTTGGAACATTATCAAAATCTTGCAAAGGGTCAAGCGCCAAAGGTTGTATTATAAATGTGTACTTTTCCTTTCTTCGCCCCATCTTCCCAAATTTAGTCATTAACTGTGTATGTCCATATGTATTGAACGATCTAGGACATCTAGATAGATTCATTTGATGTTTGCCTCAATCTGGTATTGAGTGTCAGGGAGAATATGTATGTGTACTGATGTTTCTAGAACAGTTCATGGTGATTTCTTGTGCAGATTCTAGGGTATGCCCTTCAACCATTTGGGATTCCAACCGGGAGAAGCATTTATAGTGCGCAACATTGCGAATTTGGTGCCCTCCTTCGAGGTATATTATAGATACATTTGAATTATTGTCTTCATCTCTGCTTCACGGAAGGCTAGACATTAATGCCACAAGAAGCGAACACTCGCCAATCAAATGAGATAATATTATTCAATTTATTTTTTTCCGTTTTTGCAGAGTGGACCCTCAGAAACAAATGCTGCATTAGAATTTTCTGTGAATGCCCTGGAAGTAAGTATTCTGTGAATAAAATCTAAAATAAAATGCCAATTATTTCCTTGCTAGCTCCCTTGAACCTTTTGGTTACACATCCCTGCTTATTGAGTGACAATAGGGAGGTAGGAAATGTGTAGGCACCAGAGACCCACATTGCTGATAAGAAAGGGTCTTCCAAGTATTTAGCATAGGTTCTTAAAGTGTAAGAAATGAAATTCTGAATGGGGTTGTGGGGAAAGAACAGCATTAACAAATCTTCATATGACATAGCCATTCATTTTCATCAACCTTGGGCATAAAAAGGTGGCTAGTCTTTGCTGTATCAGGAAAAGTTGAATCTCTGAGGTTTAGTGTGCTTCTTAATAGAAGAGTGGGAAGAAGATAAGCCGGTTGGAAATCGATTCTAAGCAATAATTATTTTGTAGGTTGAGAACATATTGGTCGTTGGTCACAGCTGTTGTGGAGGCATTCGTGCTCTTATGAGTATGGATGATGAAGTAGAGAAAAGGTTGAGTAAATTTCTTGTTCTGTACTTTTCAAGTAGTGCATGTGGTCATTGCCTATGTTTGACTTTGAATTTGTTTGTCCAAGAAACAGTCAAGCAATGTTTCTCACTTTGCTAAAAACTCTTTTATGCAGTAGCTTTATCCAAAATTGGGTTGTTGTTGGGAGGGATGCAAGGTTGTGGACAAAGGCTGCTGCCTCCAAGCTCAGTTTTGACCAGCAGTGCAAACACTGTGAGAAGGTAACATTAATCTTTTCTAATTATTTAATATTTCTTTTGTCCTTTTAACTCAAGTAAAAATTCTGTGTTTGGAATTGCTTGCCGTAGCATAATTGTTCACCATTTGTAATTTTCTTCATTTCATTGGCATAAGCCAAATGAACTTTGAAGTAATTACTCTTATTACTAAGTTCAACACTGCTTCAAGTGACGAATCCTTTGAGTCCGTATATTTTGAAACTCGTATCAGCATTCTGTTTTATTTGTATAGTAAATCTTCTGATTGATGGTTTGGAAAAATTATGTTTGGGGTGAGGGGGTAGTTTTTAAAGGTTGAAACAAAACAAATCAGAATTGCATCTGATGACATCCCTTAGATATTGTTTGAAAGGTCATTTATTTTAGTCATCATTGACCTCGTACCTATCTGGGAATTAAACCCAATTCTTTCGAAGTCCACGGTAAAGTTCTCCTGTTGTGGCATAAATTTGTGTTGCAACTAATAGAGGCTGTTTTATATCATAAAATGATGCACCAGGTTCGTAAAATATTTCTCATATTGAATGGTATCCTTTTGCAGGAGTCAATCAACCGTTCGTTGTTGAACCTGCTCACGTACCCGTGGATAGAAGAGAAAGTAAAGAATGGTGTTCTTTCTGTGCATGGTGGTTATTATGACTTTGTTGACTGTACATTTGAAAAATGGACACTGGATTATAAGGAAGACAACTTGAAGGAGAAACACGGCAGAATTTCTGTAAAAAATCATTTGTTTGGTCCTGATTTCATGTGTGGTCTTGTTGTATCTTATTCCTCAGATAAGTTATTAAAAAGGTTTGTATTATAGGGGCATTAATTTAAGAGAACTGAAAAAATAATGTAAAGTGTGGTGTGTTTTGCACTTGACAGAGTTGTATTTAATGTTAAAGTTCACCATTCGTAGAAATGGCGATGCAGTGCGGGCACCAAGTCAGGATTTGATCTTCACTGTTCTTCATTTCATTGCTATGTATCACCTAATGTTTAGTGATTGGGAATTAGATCGCATTGGATTACATTGGATTGGAGAGGATAACACTAATCCAATGATGTGTACATGATTGAAGGACTGGATTAATTGAAACATGCTTTTACATAGGTTAGTATGATGGGACACAATCCAATCCAACATAGTGTCAAACCTTTTGGTCTAATAAGATTAAGCATAATCCAATCTATGTTGTTTTTAGACAACCAAACGAGTCCTCGGGGTTACCAAAACGAAATTCAAAAAAACTACCGTTTCCTAAGTTCGCCACTGCCTGATGTGATGATCCATCTATTTCAGTGAGCATATGTTCAATTCAAACTCCTATCTGCATTCCGTAACTGAATGCATTCTCTTACTGATCAAAAGTTCAAGTTACAAGAAAATTAAAATGTAACGCATTATTATAATCAAGTGAATTAGGGCTTCCGAAGAACTTAAAAACAACAAACTGGAAAGAGTAACAGAAACTGAGAGGGGAGGAGATTTCTAAAGAATGTGCAACATCGGTTTGCATAACGATGTGTACCTAATCATATGAACAGGGGAACCTTGCAGGGGCGCAAACACTTACTGATTAGTTGTCTTAAGTACTCTGTTTTTGCCAATGATTAACATTAATAGTGCGAGTTGTAACAATTTAGGATCCGTTTGATAACAATTTCAATTTTAGTTTTTATTTTTCATTTTTTGTGCTAGAGTATAGAAGGAATGAGGGAGAATCAAAGTGAGAATGAGAGTGAGAGAAGATGAGAGGGGAGGAGGGAAGAAGGAGTAACAAAAGTGAAAACAACAACTATAAACTGAAATCTATTTGAAATTGTTTTCACTTTCAAGTTTAATATTTATGTTAAACAAAATATAGAGTTCAGTTTTTTCCATATCAATTTTCCAAATGACCGAGTAAAGATATATAAGACGAAATTTAAAGTATAAGAATAATTAAGAATAATAATCCAACAGAGGTAACTATAAGCACTCTTATACATTAATACTCAAATGTAGCAGTACATGATAAGAAAGAAACACTGGAGAAGACATGATGATTACAAAGATATATATATATATAAATAGTGAACAAATTAATTCGAAATATTTAAGAGAATCAAGGAAGGGTGGTTTTGTGAGGTGGGATGAGTGAAGGGAGGGGTGTGGGCCTTGGGGAGGGTTGGGATGGAAGGCAATGTGGGCTTAGGTAGCTCAGCTGGGAGATGTGGCAGAGGTGGAATTTCAGGCAACTTTGGCACTTCAGGCTTTGGTAAAGTAGGGACATTGGGCACCGCTGGCAGCTCGGGCTTCGGCAAAGTTGGGAAAGTGGGAAGTGGTTGCAATTCAGGCTTTGGAAGTTGAGGTAACTCATGCAAGGTTGGGGCATGTGGTATTTCAGCCAACTTATGGCCTTCCTTTGGCAAGGTTGGGACATGAGGTGCTGATGGTATTTCGGGTTTAGCCAATGGTGGCAGCTCAGGCTTTGGAAACTGCGGTAGCTCAGGCTTAGGAAGCGGTGGCAGCTCGGGCTTTGGCAACTGTGGAAGCTCAGGCTTAGGAAGTTGTGGAAGCTCAGGCTTAGGAAGTTGTGGCAGCTCAGGCTTAGGCACTTGTGGCAGCTCGGGCTTCGGCAACTGTGGAAGCTCAGGCTTAGGAAGTTGTGGAAGCTCAGGCTTAGGAAGTTGTGGCAGCTCAGGCTTAGGCACTTGTGGCAGCTCAGGCTTTGGGCAACTGTGGAAGCTCAGGCTTAGGCAATTGTGGCAGCTCAGGCTTTGGAAGCTCGGGCACTTGAGGCAAGGAAGTCTCGAGAAGAAAGCGAGCCCCTGCAACCATTGTTTTTGGAGCTCATAAGTGAGAAGGCAAAGAGCAGTAGTAGTGGCAGGACAAAAGCCGGGTGGCGAAGATAGGCCATTTTTGGAGCTAGCTAATGACAAAGGATGATGAAACAGTTATGAGTTTGTGATTTTGCTTCTGCATCTAAACCAGTATTTATAGATAGAGAAATGTAAAGAGCAAGACTTGAAAAACATCAAGGTCAAAGGGTTTTGGTATTGTTAGCTCAACTTCTGCATATATATTGATCTTCTTTGTTTCTTTACTTAATTTCCACAAGTATATCTTGACAAGTTGACAACCATATATATGATAATTGTTTCCCATATAAGCTTTTGTATATCTGTTGTAATATTGATCTTGGCAATGTAGGACCTACAAAAGAATAATATTGGGTAGCTTTATTCTGTGGCTAATTAGATCTAAGTAATTAAATTAAGGGCTTAATGTAGATAAATGGACTCACTTAGGTTGGTGTTGGCAGGAACCCCAACAGATCAACTGATGCTGGCTCCCTTTTGCTTTTCAGTCATTCATGAAATTTTGGGGTGATTTTGAAGATATACTTTCTTGAAATTTAGATCTCTCTCAAGTTTGAATTATATGTTGATCATTATTTTTTGGTTGTGGGTTATTTTGGGATCGTTGACAATAGTTCTCACTACGGCGCTAGTTAAAAAGTTGAATTCTACATCGTACATCGTATACACGTGTTTATAATATGAGTGGATGACATGATTTATTATTTTCTCCCGTTTTAGAGAATAGTATCAATAAATATCCACTTATATTATAAACGTGACCTATAATCACTCTAAAAGTAATCAAAGATAAAATTGAAAATATGGTAGAAAAACAAAAGGAATATTGATTACTTGTCAGTAGAGAAAGGAAGTAGATATTTATTAATGCAGTTCAGAAGTTGAACTAACAACACCAATACCCTTCACTCCATGTTTTTCAAGTCTAGCTCTTTACGTTTCTCTTTCTATAAATACTGGTTTTAGATGCTCAAGCAAAATCACAACTCATAACCTTATCAAGAACTAAAGCTTTCAGAATTTCATACCTCGTCCAAAATATGGCCTATCTTCGCCTCCCGGCTTCTGTCATACCACTATTTTGCTCTTTACCTTCTCACATATGAGCTCCAAAACAATGGTTGCCGGGGCTCGCTTTCTTCTCGAGACTTCCTTGCCTCAAGTGCCCGAGCTTCCAAAGCCTGAGCTGCCACCACTCCATAACCTGAGCTTCCACAGTTGCCAAAGCCTGAGCTGCACAGTTGCCGATGCCCGAACTGCCAACGTTGCCAAAGCCAGAGCTGCCAACATTGCCGACGCCCGAGCTGCCAACGTTGGCTGCCAACATTGCCGAAGCCCGAGCTGCAACGTTGCCAAAGCCAGAGCTGCCAACATTGCCGAAGCCCGAGCTGCCAACATTGCCGAAACCCGAGTTGCCACCAGTATCCCATGTTCCCAACTTTGCCAAAGCCTGAAGGTCTCAAGTTGGCAGAAGGGCCCCATGTCCCTGAGCTTCCAAGGCCTGATTGCCACCACTTCCTAATTCCCCCAACTTTGCCAACGCCCTGAGTTAACCAAAGGTGCCTGAATTTCTAACCTCTTCCCCTCTCCCCTCTGACCTACCTAGCCCCACATTGCCCTCCATCCCAACCCTCCCCACAACACAACACCCCCCCTTCGCTCATTCCACCCCACAACCACCATCTCCTTGAATATTCTTAAAATTTGTTTTAATTATTTTTTTTTTCACTATTTATACTATTCAGGTTGTATGGCATACACATATCTTTGTAGTCCATGTCCTGTGTTATTTTCTGAGCATGTATTTGCTACATATGAGTATTATTATAAGGGTTCTTATGCTTACCCTGTTGGGGTTCTTATTCTTAATATATCATTCTTCACTTGGGTATCCGTCTACGCAGGAATGAACTAAAATTATCTTCTCTTTTCCATTTTTTTTGTGTTTTAGGCTTTCAAGTCTCCGCCCTAATAATAGCTCTCAAATCAATGAGATTCAAAGTTGTTAATTTAAGGCCTGGTTTGATAACAATTTCCATTTTAGTTTTTAGTTTTTAATTTTTGTGCTACAGTATAAAGGAAAATGAGGGAGAATGGAAGTGAGATGAGATGGAGATAGGATCGAGAGGGAATATGAGTAGGGGAGGATGGGAGGGAGCAGTAACAAAAGTGAAAAAACAAAAACTAAAACTGAAATCTATTTAAAATTGTTTTGCCACTACAACTTCAATAACAATCATCCATCCAATATTAACACCCGCAAGAACTCTCAAATGATTTTCCTCCATCACCCTTTAATTTAAATTGTAATTAATTTAGATTGTAAAATTATTTGAAATTTAATTTCTTTTGTATTAATTTACATTTACTTTACTTTTTTCAGCATGAGATGAGAGTGACTTTATTATGAAATTTCCATTAACTAAGATTCGAAATTTGAACAAAATATGTATAAATATGTCGTGTCTTTTAGTTGAACATTATCACCCAAACAACAACCACATACCTCCGCTGATAAGTTACTTAGGCGATTAGGTTTAGTTATGTAACTTTCTTTTGTTCGGTGTCAATTTTTGGTTTAGATCTCTCGATTAGGGGTTAGTCATGAAACGTAAATGCATCTATGTGGTTTTATTAAAATCTGTGCGATGATCTCTTGGATCTGTACACGCGATCTAAACAACTTAAAAGATAAGTTTTTGGCCTAAATTCCATGCGGCACCCCAATCGATTATTACCATAATCAAAAAGCAAGAGTTTGGGGTGTTAAAGAAAGAAATTAATGATTGGTTTTGAGAGCCCAACCCTTGTAACACCATACAAGGATTAAATTCACAGATTAAAGACAACATTTCTAAATTGATTTCAGGATTAGGCCCAACTTCACCTCTCCAAAAAAACACAAAATTGGTCATCACGTTGATCTCAATTCTACGAGTCCAAATCAACAGATTTATTTTTGGACTATTTTTTTTCTCTCAAAAAACCCATGTGACTCTGACAGTCAACGTTTTTCAGCTGACAAAGAAGTGATGGGGATTAAATGAAACACATGTCATCAGGAGAACCCTCTCCATAAACATTAAAAAATCTAGAAAAGAAGGGCGGGCCAAGTTTCTTTCTATGCTCATAGAGGGCTTCTGCTCAAAGCAAGATGTTTTTTCAAGAACTAATAGGAGACATTAGAGTTGTTTGCCAAAAAAGAAAAATAGAACCCTCATAGAAACTGACTACTGATGTCGCTCTGTAGCCAGAAATAACTCCTCGTGTTTCTTGTCTGAACAAGAAAAATCCTTTCAAAAGAGCTACCCTCAGATATTAAAAATTAAACCCTCAGTCAGATTCTCTATAAATCTGAGAGGAGGTGAACAGGTTTAAAAAGACAAGCCAAACTTCCAATCAACAAAAAACTCTCAAGTCCATCCTACCCTTTCAAAAACCAGATCAGTCGATCTCAAAACTCTTCAAGACCTGAAGGCAACCACACTCGTTGATTTTAAAGAAAGATAAGCAAGAACTGGACCAGGTTTTTTTACTTCATTCAATTTAACGAAGTATTTACAAGGAAACGGATTTCTTTTTCGTTTACAAATTTTGGTTTCAGCATAAGCTAAATCAGCAAATCGGTTTTTCATAATATGAAAACCTAAACAATTTAGCTAGATGCTTGGTCTCTCAGAATTGCCAGAATAGCTTATGGATAATTCATAATCACGCAAAACAGTACTGTAGTGCAGCTCCAAGTAAGCAATAATCAATCCCATCCTTTCGAGCCCCCCAGACTGGAGAAATCTCATTCTCTGCCCAGCCAGCGCCTTCCCATGGCTAAATAGATTAAAAGTTTGTCAATCTCGACATTGTTATAGATTCCAGTTGAAACTCAATCATTGAAAGGGGCTGACGTTTGAATCTTCCAGCATAAATCATCCAGTCCAACCTAGTCCATAGGGCACCATCCAAGCAGAAATCGATGCCCAATGTTCTATTGTCCTTTCAGACATGGTAGTTCTCTTTTGTATTAAGTTGTGTAATAGATAGTTTTCCTTAAAAACAGCCTGATTCATTCATTTTTACAAGTACTCCCAGTTTACTATGAGAAATTCTGAAGTCCTCACCAGTTGGGCGAGAAAGACTTACATGGAGATATCCCTTACCCAAATTCACAATCATAATCTATTAAGGTTTTTTTAAACTGCTAACAGGGGCACGCTCCATACAAAGAAAGTTATGTGTTGACCACAGGTTCTCAAGCCAATGAGGAACTTTACCCTACCATCACATGACAAAATCCGAAACGGGTTTAACAATAGAGCCGCAAAGAATGTATATTTGGTACCAACCAATCCTCTCCGATCGTATACGCGAGATAATATAAATGATATTTGAGGGAGTACATGAGTAGAGTTTTTTGGGCATGGAAGAGTTTTTCTTCATCTCAATTATTGAAGGTTATTTTATAGAATGAAGGAAAGCACATCTCCTCAAATCTAGCTTAGGAGATTTCACAGCCACCCTCCTTAATATGTGAGAGGGTGGGCTATAGGCATTTGTTATTAATGCCTGATTAAAGGGGACCAATCATTGGACGACACCTAGAATAATTAGAAGTGCATTAAAGCCTTCTCTAGTCCGCACCCACCTATGTAGTCTAGTGCTTGGTTTAGGGAGGCGATCTGTAGCAGTTGTCAGTCACCCTTAATTTGCTAATCCTTGATTCAATTTAGGAGTTTGCGGAAAAACTATCTCCCAAGTAGTGTGCAACTTGGAGGGTTTGCAGCTGTGGATGGTATAGCCTGAGCTGAGTCGCTTTGAAGGTAAGTGAGCTTCATCATTAGTCCGGCCATATGCTGATTTGGGTGCTAGTTAGCCCTATTGATTCACGTCGAATGTACTTAGAGCAAGATTGTTGGTGTATTGGATAATCCTTTATCATAGCCCACTCCTATTAATTCTCATCGATAAACTGTTTTCACAATCCGTCAACCATATTTTTCCACTCGCTCATGAAGGCCTAGGTGTCTCCTTTATTACCAGTTCACTTCTCTTATTCGAAACGGGGTTCAAGTCCTTTAACTTTTCTTGGAGTGGCCCAAAAGTAATTGGGAATGGCGAGGACTCTACACGCACTGGATACATATACCATAGTCCTAATATCTATCCTTGACAATATCGGGATATTACGTTTTTCGTGTCAGGATATTTGGGAATGTATCCATACACATATCTTATCATATTGATAGTACGCGAGAATGTTAAAAATATTGAATGTCAATAATTTCTCTCACCTCAGCAATATTCAACCAATATCTTATGATATCGCTATAATATCGATAATTTGAGTAGATGAAGACAATGAAAATTAAGATTTTATTTACACTAACACCCCGTGAGGGTTTCTTGTTGCTTTCACCAAACCTCCTCAGTCCGAAAAAATTACAACGAACACCCCCCTTAGGTTTTGTTTGTTTTCCTAAACCCATTTCGGTTGTTTTGTGTATCCAAAAATTGTGAAGTATATGCAATCTAGCTAAAGGCCACTTTGTCATTAGAGAATTTTTTAAATTTTTTTTATTATAAAAATCTCAATCTTTGGATGAAAAATCAATGAAATGAGTTTTTGTGAAAAACCAGTTAAAACCTCCTGGGGTGTTCTTGTATTTTCTAAACTTCAAGGAGTTTTGTGAAAAAGCCGAACCCTCAAGATAGTGTAAATAACCTTACAATTTGAACTTTTAGGACCTCGATATCGTCTTAAGTCACTCATATCCTACCAGCAATAATATAAAGTTAAATTATTATAGTAACATATTATAAAATAAATGATTATGGTGTGTTACATCTTCTTTTCTTAATTATTAACCTATTTCTACACTTGTTAGTTAAATCACTAATGTTTGTTCGCTTGCTATTAATTCAACTTAAATAAGGTACACCATCATGCAAGGCTTCTCCCCCCCCCCCCCCCCCCCCCCCCCCGCCCCCCCTTTTTTTTTTTGGTGATAAAGTAATGATAATGACTAAAGAACGCTTCTCGAGTTTCAAGAAAAACGTCCAATGTTTCCTTACATTTATGTGGTTTTTTATGCAATTTGTATCGATATAAAATAATTCCTGATGAGTTCCCATGCAAACTTTCCTTTGATTTTGGAGACTACCAATATTTCCAAAACCATCAACATTTTAGACCAGATTGGCTCAGGATGGGTTCGAACCGTTCAACTATCAGCTCCATGGAGCACGCTTTCAGGGTGACACCATTCGTTGGCCTGGTAGTCTTCTGGCAGAACTAGATACCTTGCGACTTCATGGACTGGACTTAAATGTTAGGACCGTCTTGGCTTAGCTCGTATTTTGGCCTAAAGCTGGATAGTCTGGACCTACGTTTTGTGTTTGCAATCGGACTTTTTTTTTTTTTTTTTTTTTTTTTTTTTTTTTTTTTTTTTTTTTTTTTTTTTTTTTTTTTTTTTTTTTTTTTTTTTTTTTTTTTTTTTTTTTTTTTTTTTTTTTTTTTTTTTTTTTTTT